GTCGAACAGCGAAGGGGCTGGAAGTCCGACCGCTGCGTCGTTCGGCACGAGAAGGGAGCTCTTCTCAGCGCAACATGGATGGCGCGACCGCCGTGGCTCCGTTCGCTGAGATCTTGGTGAACGGCCGTGTGCTGCCAAGGCCCGCATTGCACTGGCAGTGAATGAGCGACGGCTGTGTGTGCTTGCGATATGATGCCGCTTTGCGTGCCATCTCAAATTGTCAAGTGCAGTTTCTTTGTCATGTTCATCGAAGATGAACATGTCTCGGGTATGCTTTCTTTCAGGCTTCGTTTGTACATGAGGTTCAGACAGATAGGCTGTCGCGATTTCAGTCTGCAGCGACACTCTGTTCACAGGCCTCGTGCGCGTGATGTCGGAGGCGGCCAGATAGGTGTTGCCGTCAGTGAGCACCTCCTTTAGTTCTGACAGTGCACGTGTGACAGCACGATTTCCTACTATGCAGTGTACGCAGTAGGTTTCGCTTATGTGTAAATACCGTGGCGCACCTAGACTCAGCGCCAGTTCTCTGGTCTGTAATGCATTATCTGCCGACACCAACCGCCTCGGGCTTCGGTGCCGTGGCGTTAGATCTAGAGACGTCTCTTTTTCGCCTGGGTGTGGTTTTCAGCGAGAGGCGGTCAGGACGTCCGCCTCTCGGCCTCGGATCCGAGTCGCTTTGACCAGCGAGCTTAGTAGAGAGAACCGTTCCCCGCTAAAAACCAAGAGCATGTCATGATTATGATGATGATCATCATCATGAGGATGCTGATGAGGACGATGCTGATGAGGATTATGATGACCATGCTGGCGATGCTTATGATTAGTATGATGGTGGTGGTGATGCTGAGTATGATGATGACGATGTCGATGATGATGATGATGCTGATGATGATGACGATGTTGATGCAGGTGCCGATTCGGATGATGACGATGGTGATGCTGATTCTGGTGGTGCTGATGATGCTGCTGATGATGGTGACGATGGTGATGACGACGATGATGATGATGATGATGATGATGATGATGATGATGATGATGATGATGATGATGATGATGATGATGATGATGATGATGATGATGATGATGATGATGATGATGATGATGATGATGATGATGATGATGATGATGATGATGATGATGATGATGATGATGATGATGATGATGATGATGATGATGATGATGATGATGATGATGATGATGATGATGATGATGACTACGATGGTGGTTGTGGTGGAGGTAGTGGTGATGGTGACGGTGGTGGTTGGGGTGGTGGATGAGATGAGGATGGCGACGAGAGTGAGGAGAAGGAAGAAGAGGAGGAGGCGGAGGAGGAGAAGGAGG